AGTAGTAAGATTATTCTACTATTTATGGTTGTTAATGGATTTACCGGATAATAATGATAATAATGCTGAAAAGCCTTGGATTTAATACTCTCAATACTCATATCAATTTGGATTTATTGAGTTCTGAGGATTACTTATTACTTATTATTACTGTTAATCCTCCTCTCTGTTAGGGAGGATGAAAAAAGCTTCTAACCAGAAATCAACAGGAAATAATATAAATTCTAATGTTCTCAGTAAGTTTTAACGCTTGTTACTGACGTTTTTCGATGGACCGCTTTTAATTTACACATTATGGCTTTTGAGGAATTTTAGCGAAGCTAAAGAATAGCAATCTAAGGGAGGAATGCATTCACCATTGATGTTGAAACGATCAGTTGCTCTCAAAAGGCAAATTTGAGTTCCTATCCCAACGGTAATGTTCCCTTACTATAACCTGCAAGTGACCTGAATCTATCCATTGCCTAGTCCTAACCTACTTCTTCCCGAATGGTAACATAGGGCTTCAACGGAACACCTCTGTTTTGTCCTGCTCTTTGCTGTCCTCTTTAGCTGGCCCCATGATTGGGCATAATCTCTCATTTTCCAACGCCTCACACGACCTCCTCCATGTCACCAACGGACGCACGTCTAACTCGTTTCCCATCCGGTAACTACTTGAGACATGGCCTGGTACGCGACGTGACTCAATGGTCTCCTCAGCGTGTGCCTAATTCATCTGCCTTCTTCTTGAGTAGAAGGTTCTTGGATGGTTCGTTTCCAGATCCCCGTGCTTCTAATTTTTTCTGACTATTTAATATGGAGTGAAGGGGGCATGTGTTGATTAAAGTCTGCAACTTGTTCGAGATGTTTTTCGTGACGCGAACCCCAAGTTTCAGACCCATATAGAAGAGCTGACTGACTTAACATTGGTGTTGCAAATCTGAATCTTATTCCTTATGCTGAGTAGTGCTTGAGATTTCCAAACTGATTTCAGATTGATGAAGGTCTGCCTTGAGTTTCCGACTCTGGTTTTGGCATCATCCGTGCCGGCTGCCTGTAGTTGAAACTATACTCTCCAGATGAGTGAAGGAAGTAACCTCTCTGTTGATGGTTAATTGGTGCTGGCTGTTGTCGTTGAATGGTTATCTTCGTGACCACTGTCTTCTCTATGTTCACCTGAAGTCCTTTCTTTGCTGCTTCTTCTGACAACTTGTTGGTTTTTGCATGCAAGTCTTCGAGTTTGTGTGACACTAGACGTTATTCGTCTGCACCAAGAGATGTGCCCCACAAGATCGCATAGTTTGTGAGAAGACTGGGATACTTCATGGACGCCTAGACAGCAGCAGGTGGTTATCTTAAGAAGCCATTTCCCTCCGAGCCTTTGATTTGAAGTCTGATCCATAAGTCAATGGACCAACGTCAGGAGCCACGTTCCTATCGTTTCCGGTAACTAGAACACATTCATACACCATTCTATCCATTCGGATTGTGGTGTCCATGTATATCATAATTTTAGAATCAGGGTTTCTCAGCTCCCCTAGGTAGACGTGCATTTCCATCTATCTGGTGCCAGATGTTCGCATTCACCCTTTCATTTTTATACCGTAATCAAGTTTTAGGTAAACATAATAAAAATAAATAATCCTACATGTAGACAAAACTAGGGTACCAGATGAAGAGCAACTTATGAACGCCGCAATACGTGCATAGCATCTGAGATGAATTATATGATTAGTTGCCTCAAGGTCATTTTGAAGGTTCTGCAATCGACATTTACCGCTATGAATAATTATAGCAGCCACCGAATGATCTTGAATGAACAATCATATCAATATTCATGCATGCATTGTCTGGTTTCAACATAGAACTTTGCACAGAAGTGTAGTAGTTCAATTTGTCACACTCCATGTAATACACTCAAAGGTAAAGAAAAGAGAGAAAATCAAGAGATTCTCAAGAATTATGGATTGGTTCTCACCATTCCAAGGAACTCAACCAGGCAGACTACATATCCCTAGCTGGCTGGCTTAAACCAAGTGTCAGAGGCTACATAGACTGACTTCAGGTTTCGGTTTTTCAAATTATTCTTATGTCTATTTCAATAACAGAGAAAAGACCAGTAGTTCAGCGAAGAGTCTCTTTTCGGTGGCGAATTCATTTTCATAGCTGTACAATCGCAAATATATATGGTTGTTTTGTATGTGTGTGTGTACATTAAATTTGTCAAACGAAAATACATTTAGTAAGTTCAGATGAATCGGATGTTGATATAAGAGAGTATTAACAAAAGTGATAAGTTGTCACAAACGATTGTTAAAGAAGAGTTACGTAATAACATGAATAGTTTGATGAAAGAGATGTGCTCAGGGTGTACATGAAAACAAAATAGCATACGGAATTACGCAAGAGTTTTAAGTAGTTAGAAAAATAAGCAAACAAACAAAAGTTAATTCAAATCAACAGAGTTGTTACCATGATATTTTCATAACCGCCCAGTCATGCAGTATTAACAGCTGGATGACAAGGTTTCGAGCATAAATTATTGCCACTCATTATCATATCAATTTAGTCACACGTGTCACAATTTGTCTTATGTATATATTTTCTCTCTTTCTATCGCTGTCTCTCCAAATTCCCTTTGTTGTTTGTTGCCACTTTGCATATCTCCGGTATAGGTGTTGCGTCATTTCGATTGCACGTGTGCAGTGTTGAATCGATAGACAAAGCTTCAGTGATTGACCTCTCTCTGTGTCCACCCAACTACATTACTTTTTAGTACTCTGGTACTGTGCCACCGTATTTTGTGCAAGGAAATGCCATGGAATGACCGAACTGTTTTCTAGGTTATTTAGCTTAGGAGGTAGTACCATTCTAGGTCTAGCTAAATTTCTGTGTTCGAAAAATGTAATTGACCCCAATCGACTATGATGTAATTGACCTCACTGACAGTCATTACATGGTATTTGTTAAATTATATTATTTTTCTTAATTGGATATATTGGGTCCTTAAGCTGACAAAGTCTATCTCTGAGTGAGTTATTGGGTTGGCTGGTTGGTTTAAATGCCCCCTACCCTAATTTCAGCGTCATTGAGAACCCTACTTAAGGTCTGTGACTTTATTTCTTTATACGACAGTATTTCAGAGGCTTTGAATTCTGTTATTCTCGTTATTTTCGTCACTTTTAATGCTAGTCTTAGTTTTTCTATGGTTCTTCATTTATTTCTGAATAAATTCTGCAGGGTAGTTAGTTATTCACTAATAGTATTTCCCTTATTTGCTTGATTTCATTATTCAAATCTTTGGACGTTCTAGTGAGTCTCTTGACCTGATTATGCAGACATTTAACTGAACCTATTTTCCTTTACTGATTCTGGGTGAAATGAATTAAAGTCCAGTCTAAGTATTTATCAGAATGTTTCGGTTTCCTATAAATGTTAGTAACTTACCATCCTACATCTTGTTTTCGTTTTATTTCACAGTCTAGCATGGTCAACTCACTCTGTTCGTTTTCTAACTCAAAAGTGAATTGGTTTCTGTCTACTATTGAGTTTATATGTGTGAGAAATTGATGGATATATTCAGATTTCAACACGGTGAATGTGTCACTCACATATCTCTACTATGACCTAGGATCAGGAATAGACTTTTTAAGAGCCTTATGTTCCCAACTACCCATAAATATGTCTGCTAATATTGGTGATCCTATGCCGCCGCCCCATTCGTCTGTTTATATAGTTTATTTTGAAATTTGAATACAGTAGAGGTTAGACTTAACTGAACACCTAATATTATTTCATCAACTGAGCGAGAGCTTAGTCCTACTTTTGAGTTCAGGATCGATGTTCAGTTCATTCCTAACAGCTTCCAGAACTACATTAGTGGGAACTTTAGTAATAAACTGGTTATGTCAAAACTAACCATTTTTACTTCTTTTTCTAATTGAATTTCCTCTAGTTTCTGTTTCATTACAGAGGAAATGGTTAGCCTAGAATTTGACCTGTCTCTATTGGGGCATAATATTAATATTCCTAAATTCAACTATTGGCCTGATAGGGTATCCCTGCTTTAGTGAGGACGAGGAGGGAGATGGCTTGGCAAGCGTATCATGTGTCGGATGTGTTTTAGTCTATGTAGCTTCACAACTTCGTCCATTGTCTGCTCTTCCTCACCTAGCATTCTATGCCTAATCCCAATACTAATCTCCTCACTATATCACTTAACACGTTAGACAGTAGGCAAACATCTGTGGTCAATGACAAGCCAGCCTTTTCAGTAGCCATGTCTTACATTCATAATGGTCATAACGGACACTGATGTAAAGTAAACAGGACTGGTCGACTAAACTTAAAAAAATATGGTTACTATTTAATATAAACTATCGATTACCTCTCAAATCTCACTGATAATCTTAATATTTAGTTGTACTGATGACATATTTGATTGGTAATCTGTGGATCGCATGTCTTAGGGAAACTTCAATCCTTATCCTTCTATGGTAGTAGATACAAGTGTCTTGTATCCTATGACGAAAAGTGGACACTGGATTTCAGGTTCATTAATGAGCTGACATTAGTTAAAGAACTATTGAAAAATCAAAGGAGTACTGGACTGTCGTTTCATCCTGGCTTGGGGCTATTCAGTGGTATGCGCACCCACCGGGGTTCGAACCCAGGCTATTCTGGTTACAAGGCGAGCCCGTAGACCATTCAGAATATATATATATATATACAGTGCAACCTCCAGGCAATGTCAACGGTGATTAACCGTCATCTTATCTGACTTGGTGGACTATACTGGTCACGGCTTCTCACTCGAGCTCTAGTTAAATTCCTGTATAGAGCCAGTAGCTCTAGTGTCATGATCAAACGTCGTGTCATCAGTAAAATCCCTATAAACCAATACTGGATTTCTTTTGATTACATCTTATAACATTTGTTTTTTTTCTTTTCGATAGTGTTATTAGAAGACGGAGATTATCTGTTTTTGTTTTTTTTGTTTTATTTCTCTTCACTTGTAGATGAACAACAACGTGTACAGAAGAAAACCTTCACTAATTGGGTTAACTCACATCTACGAAAGGTATGTATTTAAAAATATTTTTGTAATGTTTCAAGATGCCTAATCAAATGGGCTTTAGTGTCTCTTTTCCTTTTTTTGACTGATGACATTTTCAAACTCGAAATTGATAATGTAGTATGGTTGCATTCTAGTGGAAGGATGTACTACAAGATTTCAAATGATGCAAATCATAAAAGAAATTTAGTAAACAGAGAATTTCTGGAAGCTGCTTGGTACTCCCTGATCAGTCTGTACCTAACATATTTATGGATATCATTATTGTTTCATTTAATTCGTAGGGCTTCAGCCTCACGTCTCCATTGCGTCCGGTTCTCTGCCAACTTTTTCACCTGACTCCACGTCTGCCCACATGCTTTCATCTCCCTCTTCTCATGATCTCTTCCATGCAACCTCACCCTCCCACTGACGACCAACTCGCCGCTTCCCACTCGGGGTCCACTTGAGCTATGGCATTGCTTGTGATGTCACTCACTTGATGGTTTGTCTTCTCAGAGTATGGCCAGCCAATCCACCTCCATTTCTTCCAGCAGATCTGTTGCGCAATTGGTTCCTACTGGGTTGGTTCGCTCACTGCCAGAGATCCCTCCCTAATGTTGATCTTTTCTGGGTGGCCATCTGATACTGAGCGGAGTATTGAGCGAAGACAGATGTTAATGAAGGTCTGTGGTTTGTTCGAAGTATCCTTCATGATCCGTAGAGTAAGTAGCACTGACTTCACATAGGAGTTGAAAATCCGGATATTGTTTTTCATACTGAGTGCTGTTGATCTCCACACAGATTTGAGAGAAGTGAAAGCTTACCTTGCTTTCTCTACTCTTGTTTTGATATCCTCATCAGTTCCGTCGGCTTGTAGTTGAAACGATGCTTCCCAGATAGGTAGGTAGGTACATAGGTAGGTAAAAGAGGTTGCTTCTTTCAGATTTCTCCCATTTATGCTGACTGATTGTTTTGTGTTGTTGTTGTTGCTGTTGGCCAGGAATCTTCATCACCTCTGTTTTCTCTATGTTCACGTGAAGGAAGTCCTATCTTTGATGCTTCTTCTTCCAACTTGCTGTTTTTCATTTGCATGTCACTTGCATATGGATATAGACTAATTTTATCATTTTGGGATTAGAACTGAAGATGTTTTGTTTTGAAGGGGATAATGCCTACTCTGTTCCTTTTGCATTCCAAATAGAATATAAGAGGGCTTCCAGCCTGAGCTTTGGAGTTCCAGTAGCAGTGGTGTTATTCTTTTTTACGGAGTTCGGGGGGTGTGGGTTGCAAGGCTAACGATCAACCTTTTGTCTTTCTCGAGCAATACTATTGGCTAAGTGAGATCTACGAAATTCGTCGGCCGGGAATGGAAACTGGACCAGGTGTGGCGTGGTTAGCTAGTTTTCTACCGCTGATCTACCGACACCACACGGCTTTACATCATGAACATCATTTAGCGAAGAAAATTTTCTTAATCGACGAAATCATCTTCAAAGGCTGTACAGTCGTGTTTAATTTTTTTTTTAATTATTTTTGATTATAGCTTGAAACCACACAGTATTTTTGGTACAAGTATGGAATTTTCAGCATGTGATATCGGCAGCCCAAATTTAGCAGGCCGACCATAGATATTAGGTGTGCATCACAGGGGATCGAACCCCGAACCATGTGCATGGTCGGTGAGAGTCCTAACCGCTGTGCTACGGACGCACACTTACCAAAAATAATAGTTCATTTTTGAGTAACAGGGTGTATGTGACATAATGTAATTATTCAGAGGTGGTTTCAAAAGTAAAAAAACGGCTCAGAGGAAAAAAGGGCTAGAAATTTGATAAGGTTAAATTTTTTATTGCGTGAGGAGAAGGTAGTTGAGTATCCATTTTACAAATGTGAAGAGAATGTGACAATTTAGAAATGATGGAGAAGATTTGTGGCTTCGCAATTAAATCAATCATCTCAGAGAACACAACCAATTTTAGTAGGGCGAGAAGATGTACAAAAGGAACATATGACAGTGATAATAGTGAATTAATCATTGGAAATAAAAGCAAACTAATCATTACCAATAAAAATAAAAAGTTACAGAGATTAAGACCATGGTAGAATAAGAGAATGGACAAACTTTTCGTGTGTATACAGAGTTCGGGGGTGCTTTGACGAGTCGCCGGCGTCTTCGCCATACACAAATGCCGAAACTTAACACCCTTTATACCCTGGCTTGAGTTAACTAAGTACTCGACAGTTGAGCTGGTAACAGTCTTGCACTGTAAATAAATTCCTTTATGATCAGTCGTAATTATATTCCTTCTTCTAGCTTACTTATCGTTGTGTCTTACATCAAAGATTGAACTTTATGCATAGTTATCTTGGATTTTCTGAAATAACTGTGTTTTGCACTATCAGTGGTGGGGAGTTAATGTCCTGCATTAAGGTGAGAGTAGATTATAGACGTCTGTACATCCTTTTTATAATATCTAACAGTAACCAAGTTGCATAAATATGGGGCTATAAAACATCTTAAGATACTGACCTGTTCAACATTTGAAGGCCTTGTGGTTTTTATATGGTTGGTAATTGATAGAAAGCCTTGAGCCCAGCTTCCATGGTCAATCGCGAACCCAAATAGCTCAATGTTAACGTCTCCAACTTCAGCACTGGGTGACTAGACTTCGAATTTTAGGAGGGGGGCATGAATGCTTTCAAGATCACAGATACACGCCTTGTTGACTGGTGATTGCCAACAAGCACGAAACCTAGGTTCAAGGTTTCTAATTGCCTCCATCTGGTCAACGAACCTTAAAGACATTCTCTCCTATCAAAGGTGTGCTTTTAATCTATCATTCTTCATGATGGAGGGGAGGGGGAAGTTGACTAAAATGTTGTTTACATCGACTGTAACCATTGTCACATACGTTTTACATTTTTTTTTAAATTCTGCTTCCCCTTATACATACTTCTAGAGGTAATTTTCTCTTAAGGTAAGGCTAATTCATTCGAAGGGCTTTTCTGAGCAGTGCTCATCACTTATTGTTCCTAAGGGATTGACAATTTAAAAAAAAATCCCTTTTGAACATTTGTAGACATTAATGAAAAGACCCCATTTTGTTTAACTTCTGAGTCAATTATCAGCTGACTCTCGTGAAGATTTTAGGAGGAGAATGAATTTCATTCGAATTCCCGATATGTTTAGCTGATAAGTGTTAACAGGTATACAATTTAAGGCTAAACTAGCTTTTCTACTGCTGCTTGCACTCTGTGTACAAAGTACACTCCAAGCAGATGATGATCGGCTCAGTGACCCTCTGAAGTGATTAATCAGAGAAAAGCAAGAAAATTTAGGTAGAGAAACAGTATTTCCTTGGAAAAAATATAATCTTCAAATTTCATTATAGATAAGATTTTATTTTGATAAATCACACAGTGTTATACAATAATATTAACTGATGACATTTCTAGCACAAACTATTGCTACTCATAATCATATCAAGTCACTCACTCATACAACTTTCTTGCTTCATTTATATACATGTGTGGAATTGATGATTAGGCATTTCAATACAAATCAATATAGGATGATGTACATTCAGAAATAATAATACGATAGGAAATAAGGCGAGTGTTTTTAAAGTCAAAATAAGTAACTTGTTAGAATGTTATGATGTATGTGAATTGAAATAGAATTTTGAGATTATTTATTATCCTCCTGTGATTTGACTAATGGTAATAACATCTTCCGTATCTCTGGTATTTGCTTTGAGTTATTTCTGTTGCATGTGTTGGATGTAGACTCAATGAACCAGGATTCAGTAATCAACCTCTATCTCTCTCCACCTATCTAGATTACTTCTTAGAATCTTAACTCTCTTCCACCCTATTGTGTGGTTGTGTGTTAATGCGTGAAGTGCAATTGCTGAGCTTTTTTTCTAAATTACTCATCTGTCTCCGCAAGGTCAACCATTCTTACCTTAGCTAAATTCTTATGTTTCGACAATCTGACTACCCCTGATCTACTAGTTTGAACTATATAGTTGACCTCACAGTCATTGCAGGGTATTTTCTAAATTATATTATTTTGTTTAATTGGGTGAACCCAATTGATCAATAACACTCATATTATTATTTCTGAATGTACATTATCCTATATTGATTTTTATTTGAATATCTAGTCAATTCCACTCATGTATATTAATTAGGCAATGAAGTTGTGTGAATGAGTGACTTGATATGACAATGAGCAATAGTTTGTGCTCGAAACGTCATCAGCTAATATTACTGTGTAACACTATGTGACTTATCAAAATAAAATCTTATCCATAATGGAGTTATACTCAACCACAGTGCCCAAGTTTTATACTTATATCAATAATCTTCAAATTGTACAAGTAAATCAGATAGAAAATTCACGAAGAATATCTGATCTTGTTACTATGTTTCGTTTTAACTCAGATTTTAGGTGTATTGTTATGGTCTCTGAGCTGGATGTTTTAATTGCGAAGCTTTCATTGCCCTTCTCATGTGCATCCGTGGTTCATTGGTAGAATACTCGCCAACCACACACAAGTGGTTCGGGGTTCGACTTCAGGCCAGCGAACTCCCTGACATCACTTGGCATATTGTAAGACTGGTAAAGAAGGAAGGTTGGGTATGAAGCTAGCAACTCCTTCCCATAAAATAAAGCCAACGCAGTTACTGAAACTTGAAGCTTGACCTATTGACCTATATCGTGTCAAAATTAGATAAGCGAACTGTTACTCGCCTATGATTTTTGATAAGCAGTATATATCACACATAGACAGAAGTTGGAATTCATGGGCTGGGCCACTGGATCGATTTGCAGTGACTGAATAATCTCCGAGCTTGCCTTATAGCCGGAAGGTCCTGCATTATTTGAACCCTTGCGGTGGATGAGAACTGATGAAGAGTCCCAAGCTAGAACGAAACATATGTCTAGTACTCTCAGGTTTCCCAATGGTACTCTAACTGATGTCATTTTGTTATCTAACCAGCAACCAATGAAATCCCTGCAAACCGACACTTAAAATTGTTTGCTGACTATTTATACTACTCATATTACTATTATTTATTCATTTTTTTAATTTACATATTTAGTTATCCCCACCAATTCGTATTAATGATCTATTCAAAGATATTGGAGATGGAGTTACACTTATCCGTCTTCTCGAAGTATTATCGGGCGAGAAATTGGTAAGTTCAGTTTGGTTGTTTTTTATTCTCTCAATAATTGCTACACACCCCAGGTTATGAGAATCCAATAGGGTTTGTGTTATAATAGCTTGGGTGTTGTGACTTAACTGTTTTGATTGGCTAGTGGTGGTGGAACACCTTAACGTTATTATTTGTTTTAATGCAGAAATAAACTTGCCTACTCATAGTTATTTTCCTTTGCTGGACTATGTGGTCAGGTGATCCACAGCGGAAAACTCAGCGAGGTATTTGAAGTGAGGGAGTAAGATAGGGTTGCCTGTTATCACCGATGATATCCTTAGTTGTGGTCGACTGAATTATGGGGAGTGAGAAGACAGGAATACGTCGGACTGACCAGTAGGAAGATCCAAGAAGATCTGGATTTTGCGCATGGATGATTTATGTTTAATGTCACACAAACTCGAATAGTTGCAGGAAAAAAACCAACAAATTCATTCTTGCGCGTCATTAATTAGATGACGAGGCATTTGGCTATTTTCATTTCATGATCTATCCTGTTTCCAGGTCAATCATCGTCACCGACCCGGTGGTCTGGGGCCTATTCTAATTAGTGCGCATGCATGAAAACAGTATAGCGGCCAGGTCTTGCCACTCCTACTAACGTATAGGGCCTCAAAGTACCAGGTTATCTACTATAGCCTCCTAAGTGGGGACGATATCTAGTGCCCGACCTGGGTTATCGTCCACTTTGGCCAACTGGTTGTCACTACGCACCCTTCTCCACTATCCACCACCTCAGCCCTCATCTCCCACATCTGCGGGCGATGGCACTCAAAGCATTTCAGCTTTTCACTGCCTGCGTGGTTAGCAGACAATTGCCCGAGTTTCAGGGTCAATCATCGTCCTGAAGACCCCATACACACTTGGACAGGCTGGGATGGTTTAAGTATCATCGAAGGGCTGTCCCAAGCCGGTTGCTGGTGGCGCCGCGGCAGGGTTCTAGCGGTTGCGGCCATCCCCCCTGGTTCGTCTAACTCCATGTGTGAGAAAAAGAAAGAAAAGCGAGAGAGGAAACGCCTAGGTGCCGGGGTTTTGGAACCTGGTTGAAGTCAGGAGAAGCGGGCCTTTGTGGAAGGTAAAGTGCTTCCTTAGTGGGAATGTACTACTTAGGAAACCTCCTTTAATCGTGTTCTGCCACCCCAGCCGGTTAAAAAACCCCAGAAAGGACACCTACCTCACGATGGGGGGCATGGTCATCCATCTGGAAAATAGAGAAAAGAGAAAGCATGGCGTGCATTAAAAGTGTCCACTTACCTTCGCCCCTTGTCCGGGTAGAAGCTGTCATAGCATTTCAGAGACCCTATGATGGTCAGCAGACAGAGATCAGAAAGAATCAGTTTAGATAGTGTTAGTCGAGTCATGACCCGTTCACTGCCCTCGTATAGGAGTCCCTTCATGCTAATTATGAACGGGTAGTGGAAGGTTCGATCCACCGTGATGCCCACCTTTTTCCTTAAGTGGTTTCTTAGGATTCTATTCCTGTCAATGTCATCGTACTTATTAACCTTCGTACGCCAGAACTGCCGTAGTGTTTGTCGGTAGTCACCTTAACGTCGATGACACAGACTGTTCTGTCCCTAATGGCTACGATATCTCTTATAAAGTACGAGCTGAAATATTTAATCTGGGGCTCTTGCACGACTTTGAAGCCCTTCTTGTGTATGGCCTCCGCTAAGCTAGCAACTATCCTATCGTGTCGGGCAGTCCGCGGTCCGTGTGTTATTCTACATCTCTGTAAGATATGTGACAGATTCTCTTTATGACCACTACCACACTTACATCGGCAGTCGTCAGTCCCTCCTTCCTTGTGCCGCCCTCTGGAGACCCTTTCCTTTGTCCCTAATAGGTTTCCTCTGAGCTGGATCCCTTAATAAAGATCCTTGGGAAGACTGAGTCTGTCTTCCGGAGCCATCTATGTGATACCCGCGTTTGTTGAGCTTCTTTCATCCCTAAACCATCCTTTTTCCCTATCCATTCTTCCCTCCAGGCTTTCCTCACCTTTACCTTATTTGCATACCTCCTTCTACCTATCTTAGCAACCCTTAATCTTTGTCTAATCATAGGTTGCGACACCTCCTTTTCCAAGGAAGCTGCCACTGCTGGGCACGTAGATGATTGCAGAGTCATTAAGAAGGGCAAAATCCCTACCTGGGACTGTCGTGTGGATGCATTCTATACCCAGCCCGCCGTTCTGTATCTCTGTAAAGAAATAGGCATCAGGAGTGTCGTGTTGTAGATGCAGCTATCGCTCGAGGTGGTAGCGGATTGTGCGATCCATAACCCTTAACGTTGTTTCATCCATGGGATTGGCAAGGATTGCTTACTGAACCAGCGGGATCAAGTGTGTCTGAAGTATTCGCAGCCTCTGTTGGGCTTTCAGAGGAGCGTCGTCGACCTCTCTCAGCATAGCTTCGAGGGTACCCAACATGTTCTTTTTGGCTATTCCTCCTTGGTCAAACTCCAATCCAAGGTACTTAAAGCAGTCGCCTGCTTTCATAGGACTAATCGTGTCCTCCCCTACTGTATAAGTTGTCGGCATTGTTACCGTGGTTTTGCGCTTGCCATCAGTCCCTATGGGTACAGAGTTCCTGAAGCTGTCTTGAGAATTCGTGACCAGTGGTATTCACACTGTCCGTGTGAAGTGGATGCTTATCTCGAAGGCATTGGTTGAATGTAGCGCTATATATATATATCATGAATTTTCTTATATTATTATTGTTCCTTTGGATTCCGAGTAGAACATAGGGCTTCAACAGCACATCTCTACTTTTCCATATTTTTCTGCGGTCCTCTTCAGTTGGCTCCATTATGGTCCATAATCTTTCATCTTCTCTAACTTACACGATCTCCTCTATGTCACTCTCGCACCTACGACCCACTCGTTCCCAATTTGGGTTCCACCCGTGCTATGGGCTCGCGCATGACGTCAATTTACAGTCTGCTCAGTGTGTACCTAGTCCATCTCTATTTTTTTTCTAAATATTTGTTGAGTAATCGCCTCTCGCCTATTGTTTTGTTCGCAGTCAGGCAGTTTCTTCTTGCTAATTCTTTCTGGCCAGCTGTCGATCCTCAGTATGGCAGCTGTTGATAAAATTATGAAGTGTCAAATCTGTCCCGTTGATGGTGATTGGTGCTGGTTGTTGTTGTTCGTCGGTTGGTTTACGACATCACCTCCATCCCCACCTTCTCCATGTTCACCTGGAGGTCCTGTCTTCACTGGCTGCTTCTTCAGCCAGTTAATTTTCGCCAACAAGTCTTCGAGTTTATGTGACATTAAACATAAATCATCCTCGCGAAAAATCCGTACCTTCTTGGGTCTTATTGATCAGTCCAACGTATTCCTCAATCACAGTCAGAAGCATAATCCAGTCCACCACAATCAAGAACATCATCGCTTATAATAGACAACCTTGAGTTATAGGTACGATGGAGAAGATTTATAGCTCAGGTGATGATTTTGATGTGGTTGTGTTCTCTCAGCTGGATAGTTTATGCGCGAAGCTTTCATTGCCCTACCAGGCAACATCTTCATCGCATTCTTCAATTTGAAGTGAGCTTTGGGATTTCTCCACGAGTTTATTAATCATCTCTCCTGGTTATCTTGGACGTGACTGGTTGTTTTTGTGTGTTTTCACACCTTCTAGGCTACTTGTATTGGTATTGGTGTTGATTGTTTCCTTGACCTGAAGTTTGACCCTTTGTGTGTGAGATTTCCTTCTTATCGATTGGTAAATTTTGTCTATGTCGATGTGTCTATTGATTGACGATTCACTGGAATACCAGGCAGCCTTCTAAAAAATTCTCTTGCATTCTTGGTGTTTCCTCTGTCTAATATTTGAACGCTGGTTGTGCCAATCGAATTGATGTTCGTGGTTGTCTGTATGTAGTGGTATGAGTGATGGAGTGGATGTCATGTCTTTTGATGGCTAGCTTATGATCATGGATACGAAGATGAAGGAGACGTCCACTTTGGCCAATGTAGTGTTTTTCGCAGTTGTTACAGTTTATTTTGTAGATGATGTTGGTTTTATCTTCTTTCTTTGTTGAGTCTTTTGGTTGACACAGAGCCAGCTGAGTGAAGTGATTTTGTTGGTTTGTGTGCGACGTCAATTCCTAAAGGTTTGAAGAGTCTTTCAGTGATTTCTGAGATGTCCTTTATATGTCCTTTATATATGGTAGGGTGATTTTCTTCGTGCTTTCCTTGGGGCCTTTGGTTTGATAGGTTGGCTTGGGGGTATGTCTTTTGATGATATTCCGTGGATATCCTTTCTTTTGCAAGACGTCCATGAGATATCTTTCTTCAATTTTCCGTAAGGTGGGAGTGCTGCAATGAGTCGTGGCCCCCTTGAATAGTGTTTGTATATAATTCTTTTTGTGTGTTATTGGATTGTTGCAGTTATTATGGAGTATTTGGTCCGTGTGAGTTGATTTTCTATAAACTTGAGTTTCTGAATTCCCTTTGGTTGTTCGCTTGACTAAGACATCCAAAAATGGGATTTTGCTCTCGGATTCCTCTTCTCTTGCGATTTTGATGTCTCTGAACACGTTGTTTATTAAGATGAGTTTTATCCAACTCGTTTCTTTTGATTATTACAAATGTCTCATCTACGTGACGTATCCAAATTTTGGTTTCGATCTTTGATGGGATTATGTTTTCGAGCCTTTGCATCACTGCTTCTGACATTCAACCTGATATTGGTGATCCCATGGGTGTTCCTTTAACTTGTTCATATATTTGGCTGTTGAATTGGAAGTACGTTGTCAGGCATAGGTTTATGCATTCCATCCAACTTGTGTGTTGCATTTTTTGATTGTTTTGGGAGGTGTTTGTCGTTGCTGAGTAGTTGTTCCATGGTCTCTTTTGCTAGTTTCTGTCCAATTGAGGTACATAATGCTGTGACGTTGAAGGACATCATTATTCCTTGGTCATCTATTTGGATGCCTCTGATTTTCTCTAGAAATTGGATAGCAGAATTGAT